CCAGGGAAGAGAAAGAGAGGAGGTAGTCTCCGTTAGAGAGTCTCCTAACAATAATATTGGGGTCCTTCCAAACCCATTTTTCTATACCTCTCACGCCGTCTTTAACAGGGAGGAAAGTACCAACCAGAGAAGCAGAAAATTTGGTTTTAAGGTGGTTGGACTCTTCTAGAGGGGTGGAGACTACGAAAGGGCAAAAAAGGGAAAGGTTGAACGTGGGGAAAGCTTTCCTCGTGGAATCCTCAACAGGCGTTTCGGGAGAATGAGTGGCCAAGGAACCAGCTGCAGCCTGAGAGTAGGAAACAGGGGGAGGAGAGGGAGGCTGCTTATCCTGTAAGCAAAAGCCAGGGGAAGATGAAACAGCCTTCCTTATCTTCAAATCAACGAATTTAGCACCTAGCTCACGAAATCGTAGAATAGGTGGAATGGAGTGCTTTGTCTTGGTAAGAACTCCAATGGGGTTTGGGATAAAGTTCGTAGATGCGACTCCAGTTAAAGGTGGCAAGACGGGCACAGGAAGGAGGAGGTCGACGATGTCGCCTCCTCTGAGTTCTAGACATGCGTATCAGAGGGTTGTCCTTACCTTCTTAAAAGACATTAGACACTAACTTCTAATATATCCTCCTCATCTTCATTATCATCAAATAATTGCATTTCATCAATTAATTCTTTTCTTTTCATTTTTTTCTTCTCTTTTTGTTTTTTCAAGCTATCCATTTATTCTCTGGTCTCCTTTTTTATCTCTTTGGTAGCTTGTGAGCATGCTCTTGCATTCCTAGAAATACCAACTAAGTGTTCTTTTGCCGAGAAATACCCCCCATATAAGTATTTCCACAAGGGATTGGTTTCTATACTTCCTCTACAACATAGAAGATCAATGTTTTAAAGCAGGATGCGGCCGTGTGCGTTGGGGGGTTGATGCGGTCTAGATGCGAGTGCATTGCCGTGCTGCGGTCAATGAATATAAAAATTTCTAAAAAATCTAAAAAAATAGGTTAATGCATATAAAAAAATATATGGAGGTGATATATTTGATAATAGGTATTTAGTTTATTCATTAACTCCAAAAGTATTAGCTGTCGGAGATTCTGTATCCACTATCCCCTAATAAAAACTAGAAACTTGAAACTAACTTCATAAAACATTGAATAATCAACAACCATAAGCACAAATTTGCACCACAAACTTTAAAGTAACAAAATACTAAGCTACAAAAATACTACAAACTAAAAGTCTATGATGATTAAAGAGTTCAAAAGTCAAGCTCAAGAAGAGTCAGTACAATCATCATCATTTCTTAAGTCTTGTTGTCATAAGTTCACCTAAACTTCCTCAAATCAACAGGCAAAAGATACAAATCAACAACCAAGCATCAACCAATACACAAATAGAAGAACTTCACAAAATAAAATTTCCGCCAAATTTGTTTTTTGATTCATTCAATACAAAAAAGCCACGGATGTGGCTGAAAAATGATGTTTAGGGATTTAGTCCCCCCCCAAACCCTGTCCCCCCCTTTTCGGGGGTTAAAAAGTCCTAAATATCCCTTGCTTGAGGGGTTCATTTTCGTAAAATTGGCGGACAGCATATGCGGGAGCATCTCTCCAGAGAGCATATGCAGGCATTTATAATGCGCTGCCCAGCGCTTAACAATTGATGTGGCCACATTTTAAAACACGATGGAAGGTATATACTCCCCCCTACATCTAGTCATCCAATTTAGATCAAGTGAGCCATTGACCGTTTGATCTAAATCCGACACCTCAGAGTATTTTGTTTTTAGCTTTTTTTCTACAAATTGTAAGAAATTGAAATTTTGTTTGTGCCATCTTCTCAAGGGGCGCTCCTAAAAAAAAAATAATGTTAAAAAGAATTTTTTGATAAAATATAATGACCAAAATATCCCTTGAACCTTGCAGGGGTATTTTGGTCACTTCACTTTGCTGGGAATATTTGTTTTACATTTTTTAGAAGTATGAGTTTAAGAAATGAGTGGACACCCAAAATTTGGTGTCAAAATAATTTGTAAAAATAAAGTTAATAAAATAGTGTAGAGACGTGACATTGTGATTGGGGCCATCTCAGCCATCTATTCAGAATGGATGGTTGGATAGGGGGAAGTATATAAGTTATATGCAGTAGGGGAAGCATAAAAAGCTTGCCCTTTTCACAAAGCAGACAAATCATACAATTTTGATCTTTTGGATTTTTTAGTTTTACATATTTTCAAGCCGGATCCTTGTTACTAGTTGTGAAGAAGACATTGCCCCAAAAAAAAGTATTACTGTAGTAGAAAAAAACGTTACTGATTACTTGAAGCAAGTATCGATTTCTTCTTGGCCATTGAAACGTTCGAGTTGTTGTCAAAACTTCGCCTAAACTTCCTCAAATCAATACCCAAAAGAAACAATTCAACAACCAAACATCAACCAACACGAAAATCTAAGAACTTCATGAAAAACAATTTCTGCCGCTTTTTTTATTTATTGAATTGATTAAAGAAAAGCCATGGATGTGGCTGTTTTTAGTTGTTTGGGGGGTGTAATACCCCCCGAAACCCGTTCCCCCCTTTTTCAGGGCTCAAAATGTCCAAAACACCCCTGCTTGAGGGTTTTTTTCATGGAATTGACTGGCTGCATGTGTGGATTATGCGGTATATGAACCATGCGGTGCATATGCGGCCTGTTGCGATGCCCTACCCAACGCATAACGCTTTATGCAGCTGCATATGCGGTGATGCGGCTGCATTTTAAAACTTGACTCAATTATGAGAGTGCCAAAATCCTCTGTGAATGCCATTCTGTCATTGTTCCTCCATGCTTATACCTTTCATTTTGTTTCGTATGTGGATTGTTTTTGTTAGTAGGTACCACGGTCAGGAATTATTTTCTAGAGGAAGATGTGAAAGCCTTTTATTCACTTTTTTTTTTTTCTATAGCTTGCCATTGGCTGCAGTATTCACTTTGCAGAAGTATTTTGAAAACTCACACATGTCAGAGCTTGTGTTATTTATGCATATGGCATGTGAGTGTACATACGGACAGTTTTCCCTTGGGTGATTCATCTTATTGTCTGTCTTTTTGCTCTTGTCTGGCAATCCTTCATTCTCTCTTTGGATTTGATTTACATACACAATGAACTGTCCTAGCAAATCCTGCACAATACTAAAGTTGCTTTGGCACTTAAACCATAACGAAGAATCATTTTCTTCATGATCCCAAGGTCCAACCTCAATCTCATCACTGCTTCCAAGGTTTTTCTGGTAACTGCACATTAGACCTGTGGGAAGTTTCAATCTTATATATTAATACTCATGATTATTTTTATATCTTTTTTAGATGATTATTTTTATATCTTGTTAGTTGATGTTTGTTGAACCTTCATTTTGGGCACACCTTCCTACTTGTTTACTGAGCTTTGTGTCAAGTATCTTTGTACAGATGCCTTTGTCCGCTTCAGGCCTACTAGTGCTCATTGGTGGTGCTAGTGGCTTTTTCCTCCATAGTTACCTGGATTGGGATCAAATCAGATCTAGGATCGGGATTGGGGCTGCGGGACCATGACAAGCAGAAAGCTCCCTACGGTAGGGATCGCAGTCTGTACTCCGTCAAATCTCGATCCAATGTGGCAGAGCTCGATCCAAACTTAATGGGCTTCAATGATAAATTATACAGGACAAAGCTCCATATGGTTGAAAATTGAGGTCACCGAGGACACTTAAGGGGTATAGTCCTATGGTATTAGACACTGTCATTGAATAGTATATTGCTATACTATACTACAATACTATACTATATTCTATGCTCTACTTTATGTAGTATATTTAAAACTATTACATACAACTATATAATATATACTATACTGTACAATCTATACCATCCCACATTGCGTAACTACTACACTGCTATACTGCACTACTATACTGTAACACATTGCTGTATCATACTATACTGCTATACCATACTAAAGTTCTAGGGAGTCTGGATCCTGTGTAACTCAGGATCTTGATCCCTAATAGGAAGAATCTAGATTCAAAATTTAATAATTGCGGAGGAGCAAGATCTCCTACCCTAGAGCGCAGGATCGGTATTCCAGAGTGGAATCGACCTCTTGGTTGGTGGATCCCGGTAAGTATGTCCTGATGTACTCAAGTCTTTTGAGGCGTAATTTGTCTCATTCATGCTTCTCATGCTCAAGCTCTGCTGTCAGGACACAGGCCCTTTTCAAGTCATTATGATCCTTTCCTTGACCTTTATGATTTTCATAAATCCACACTCCATACCCGTTTTCCTAGTTGCTGCTATTGAAATGAGCTTGAACCTGATTGACCCAGTTAACATGATACTGGTGTTCTTGTATCCCTGATATTTTTTATGATGTCCACTCGTTTAACCTGTATATGTGGTAAAGAAATACTCTTAACTACAGGAGCTGCCATAGTTCTTATTAAGATGTATCCTTGATTTCTGTAAATATGTCAAATAGGAATCATTAATCAATAAGCATATTATGATATAATTGATGTAATATATTGTGCTTTTATTGATCTCATGGTAAGCTTCATTCTCCTCTACTTAAAATGCATCTGGAAACATGTTGGCAGCATTTGTTGAGAACTCGTGTTGATTTTATGGGTCTGTTCTCTGTGTAGGGATTGTTGTAACCAAAAGGCTTCTTCCCCAGATGGGTACATACTTCTTGTGGATACCTTGATATCTGTAACTATGTCAGCAGATCACATTAGTGAAATTAGTTTATTATATAATATATTTTGCTTAATTTATTGCGCTCTTCTTTTTTTCTTGATTTCTTCTATAGTTGTAAGTATCAAAAAACTTGTTGGCAGCATTTGTTGAAAATTCTTTGTTGATTTCATTGCCCTACTCTCTAAAATAAGGATTGTTGTCCCTTAAATACTTCTTTCCAGACCAATTTCCTGATGTGCTATGGTAATTAGTAAGCTGTTGTTGGATAAATTTGATACTAAACTACTTCCATTTTAGCAGGTGGATAGGCACCCACAGTTCAGAAATTCAAGATGTTTGTTTGTAGTTAGAACCGATGGAGGATGGATAGACTTTTCCTACCAAAAATGCCTTCGGGCCTATATACGAAAAAAATATCCATCATATGCAGAAAAGTTCATACGTGAACACTTCAAGCGGGGTAGCTAATCATTAAAAGTTGAAACACATTTGGGGGCAATTCTCTTTTGCCACCATATTTCGGGGGACTCGCGGCTATCAGTTTGGTGTAAGTAATTATGTTTTGTAAATTTTGTTGAGACAATTTGTTCCAAGTGCATTTGAGTGAATTTCTTGTCAAATCATGGCTTTCTTTACATTCATAAGTTCCATTGCTTTATACTTAGGGAGTATTTGAATACGTATTGGTAGCATTTTTGGAAAGGAAAGTTGAGTTACATATCCAAAAAAAAAAAAATTACCTACAATCCACAGGCAGCTGAGTCATCAGTAGCTAAGGTGTATTGTTTGATATTGAAGCGGTCTTTCTCGTTCAGAGGAAGCATTATGGATACCCCTTGACTGTACTTTCTAGCTATCCCCCAATAGTTTCTAAACCACACTTTTAATCCCAATTTTTTTTTTTTTCTAGCAACCACCTCTCAACTCAAAAAGTGATTTTTTTTTTTTTCTAGCAACCACCTCTTAACTCAAAAAGTGATATTTGAGTTAAGACAGGACTCTGGACTCTAGAAGTCGGTACGGTAGGTCCAGCATGATATGGTGTCGGGCCCGCTTCGGGACGCCAAAAACCCAAAAGCTGATACAGGCTCCATGGAATCCAAATAACCCTGTTTGACAATAAATTCTTTGGACCGGTTTTTTGGATTTCAGATGCCCCAAAAGCCGATTTCTACCCATCTAAAAGGCAATCCAGGAGCTCCAAAAATTTGTCTTGTATGTTGTGCTTCTCTTTACTCTTGACACCAACTCAGATAAAATGTGGCGTCTTATTGTGACGTATACATTTTGTTTTCATGAAGCATGGCGGACCGGCCCTGAGGGGTCCAAAAGCTGGTCTGCCACAGTGTTCCGAATCGGTTGAGGAAGACCAGAAGCCAATTTGGGACATTCAAAACATACAAAAGATATATCATTCACTGTATTAAGCTTAACCATCTTGGCCGTGAGATCCCGATGAAATAAATAAAATCTATCAATCTACAGGCATACATTGAGGTTCAGGAATTCATGGTCCATACAATCACCAGAGAGAGGAGAAGAAGTGCGAGTTCACAGGAGTGCTGGACAGGCTGTAACAAAAACCAACAAAAGTGATTCAATATCCTTTGTATTGTGAAAATTTTACACAATCAAAGTGCTCTAGGGTACCTATCAAACTAACAAGTCGAAATACAAAAATGTTCAAGAAACACAAATCTATACAGGATGTTTGTCACGACCCCGCTCCCGACCCTTATTCCGTATTCGATGGAGGATGACTGAGTGTGGGTTCGTGATCCCAAGATAACGTATGTCATTCTAGTCGGAGTAGACTCAACACCTTTATCTCGGTAATCAAAGCAAATTATGAAAAAAATATACTAAATCAATAACTCCAGCCACAGGTGAATAATTAAAATTTGGAGAACCGATACATCAATAAAGGGCACTACATAAAATTCTTTCCAAAATGTTACATTTGAGTCTTAGGCAATAGGGTCCGATAGTACATTTTTCCCAAAATAAACAAAACTCAGGGCTAAACTGCCTAAACACCTACAAGATCTGGGTTTCTTCTCAAGGGAATACGACTTCAATTCTCATTTCAATCACGAGCTTCTGGTCCCCGACCTGGCACTATTAATATACAAGAGGGGAGATACAGGGGGATGAGCTATAAAGCTCAGTAAACAGATCTAGGTGCAATGCATCATTAATGAGTTTATTCATGCATCATAACCATTTTTTCCATATTATGAGAAGTCACAATGCAACAATCATGTAAATCAGAAATCAGATCCACACATCAACTACATGCATCATATCTAAATGTCAGTTATCATTCAATCATTACAATCATCAGCATTCGTATTCACTATTCAAATATTACCTATTCACTCCTTAGTTCACCTACTCTCGAAGTAGAGGCTCTATCTATCAGGCTAAGCCAATCCTATTGCTTAGGACATCTACCATACCTCAGGAGGGAGGGCAATGACAAGTGGGTAAATCCACTTCGTAATGCCCTCATACTCACGAATACGGTTCCCAATACGCATTGGGGTTTTCGATAGGCACTTACCTTGCAAGGTATCACTCACTAGTCTTATCATATAAATTCCAGGGGTGCAACCCTCCCATTCCGGTATTACTTTTCTCAGTGTAACAGTATCCACTATCGATAGGTGTCCCATCGCATAGCATGCAGTATCAGTATAATAGTATCCACTACCGATGGGTACCCCATCGCGTAGTGGCCAGTATCATAGTGTCATAATAGAACAATACCCACTACCAATGTTTGTTCCATTGCTTAGTGGTCATTATCATGACATCATATCATGCTCAAGCATTTAATTCATTCATGCTGAATCCGTGCCTTATGACAGATAACTCCAAGTTTCATCATGCAAAGTTTGCGTCTTACTCAGAACTATCCAACACTCACATAATGTAATGATACTTAGCATAAAACACCCATTATATGAGAGCTATCACATTGTGTTTACGTTTAACAGTCAGCATTAGCATTACCACACTTGTCATGTAACATTTGTCATGGAACTATCACAGTGGCATGACATTTATCAATTTTCACATAGCGCATAGCTGCATAACTACATAGCACCGTTCACACAATACTATCGTATTTAGTATTCATCACATGAAAATTATCACATAGCACTCATACTTATCACTTATCAAAGATAACACAAATGACTTTACACAGGCGACGTTACACAGATGGCTTTACACAGATGGCGTTACATGCACGGTGCTACATGCACGGCATTACATTCACAACGTTACATGCACAGTGTTGCATGCATGGCGCTACTCACGCTGTGTTACACGACGGTGCTACAAGCGCGACGTTACATGCACAGTGCTACACGCGTTGTGTTACACGCACGATGTTAAGCTTTCTGCTATTGTGATCAGTGACATACCATCATATTTTGGGGCATAACTCTCAATCTAAGGGAATTTCAAAATGAGTTTACATAAAACATTAATCTCATTCATAGATCTTTCAAATGGTGGTGGTTTGAAGACATTTGGACATCATTTGGTAGGTCGGAAGCTCGGTACAAAATAGGTGACAGTTGCATAAATTTCTTGTAACTGTAAGCAATGACAAACCCCCACATTTTGGGGCATATCTCTTAACCCCTACAAAATTTGGTATGGTGAAAAAATAAAAATTGAAATAGACGAGCATATCTTTCATTCAAAACTAGTTTGGCCCCATTTGGACACCATTTTACCACTGAAAATTTCAACGCAAGAACAGTCACAGTTCTGGAAATTCTCATTCTCAAGTTCAATACGCTTTAAAGAACACTTAATGTTTCACAAACCAATACAAACCCTTGTTCATATTAAACTAGTCTTACAAGTAATTTATTTCACAATTTTCACAACTAACAAGATCATTTATATTGCTCAAACAATCATGGTATGAAGAGGCACAAATCTGGAATTTCAAGCTCATTTAAGTCCATTCACATTTATATCTCTCATCCTAACCTTTTACCCATTTTCAAGACTTAAATCTAATTAATTATAAATCAAGTGATGCATGGGAACTAAATCTACTTACCTGATGCTCACAGTGCCTTCAAATCCCTTCTCGCAGGCCACTGCAAGCTCTAAGCAATGGCTTCCAAAAGGACACAACAACATGTTCCATCTTGCTTTAGAGAGAGAAAGTATAAGAGAAAAAGGGGAAAATGGCAGTGAGATGGAAAGGAGAGAGGGCTTAAGTACCCACGGAAGGTGGGATCCACTGTAGCTGACATGCACGACACTGACAAGGACGACGCTGACACGTATGGCTCTGACAGGCGCGGTGCTGATAGGCACTGCATTGACTAGTATGGCAGCAATCACATCATCCCTTTTCACCCACGGCTTTACACGGGCACGATGTTGCCTCTTCCTGGCCTTCACTCGTGGCATTAGTCCCTTTGACACGCATGACGCTACTCCTCTTTGATTCACGCATGACGTTACTCCTTACACACGCAACGATGCCTCTTTTGCACGTGTGTCGTTACCTATCTACGTGCCCGGTGTTGCTCTTTCTCCTCTCTCTTCGACACACACGACACTAGGCCTCTTCTATCACACTATTTCCGTGCGTGTCTCACGTATAGGAGAATAGTGGTCCTTACAATGTCCCTCAGTACCTCATAAATTGTTTTGGCCAGCTAAGTAAGCAGTTGCCATTCATAAGGGGTTCCTCAACAGGCCCTCCCTCCTAACCAACCAGAAGGCCCATAGTATCTTCCCTTTTTCGTGGTCGAGAATTCAACCTTGGTTCCTCACGCACTGTACGCCGGTCTTCTCTTCTCTTTATTCTCTTCTCATTGTCCTCCAAGTTTTTACTCTCTTCCTCCTCTCCTCCATCCCCCTCTTCACTGTTCTCCTCACTTTCACTCTCCTCTCCTCCATCCCTCCCCTCACTGTCCTCCTCGCTCTCACTGTCCTCTCCTCTATTCCCCTCCTCACCGTCCTCGCCCTCACTCTCCTCTTTTTCTCCTCCATCCCCACACCCTACTACCTCCTCGACACCTGTCTCCTCACCTTCCTCACCCTCACTCTCCCCTTCTTCTCCTCCATCCCCACACCCTACTATCTCCTCGACACCTGTCTCTACAAGCTTGTTCTTCAATAGAAAATCACGGGCCATAAGTAAATAGCTCCAGGATTCTCTTTCTAATACTTTAATATGGAGTTTTGCTTCAAGCATCTCTCGACAAGTATGTTGCTGCAACTATAATAACAATTGTACAATCATCAGATGAATGTGGAATGGAAAAAATGGATTGAATACATATCAAAACATGGTCACATAATGAAATACAAAACTAAATAGTTTACCCATCTTCACTCATCATCATGACCTCTGGGTCATTGTTTAGGTGATTATGACCACGAATAGAAGCATGTGGGATAATTGGTATCCCTATTCGTAAAACATCTGTATTATGCCATATAATTTTCCGTCGGCACCCCACCATTCATATCAATGTCAACAACATTCCATTGTTGTTGGTGCCAATCCTAATCTCCTTGCTCAACCATCCATCTAACTTGTGGGGTGTTTGTCAAAATTCTCCCTCCTATCCCACTTTAAAGGCTCAATAGA